ATTATTTTGTATCTGTGCAGTCATATGAGTCATTTCCCTTTGCTGTCAGCACTACATGGATGGAGCCCTGAGCAACAACATGCCGTTGTTCGAGCAGAGAAACACCATCACTATGGCTGCGTTTTCAGGCAAGAGCGACATCTGCCCCAAGGAGGATACCTTCAGCTTCTTTGAGGTGCAGTGCTGCAACCTGAGTTTTCAGTTCAACACCCGCAATGTGCACCGCGTCTGTACGGCCTTCCTGCCTCCCAGACCTGAGGTGTGTCCCTGTCCAGATTTATTGGACTTTAAAGCAGTTTATACATGGTTCTTAATTAACTGCTTTGACAGCAGTGACAAATTTCTCCTATTCATCTCTACCATGCAAAAAGCATGTATTCAGTGTGAAACACAATCAGTCCTCTGCACTGTAAGAGAGGAGCAAACCTTCATGATTCTTATGTTTGCACTTGACAGAAGTTGGCTGAGATCTGCCACAATGGCTACATGGACGCACTTCGTTTCCTGAGAGAAAGAGGTGAGCTCATCCATCTTCATCCTCCTCACAACTACACATTTAACTAAATCATGTAATCAGTCAACTGTCTGTTGTAGATCTGCTCGGGACACAGTGTCTTCCCCCCAGTGTGATGGTGGGGATGAATACAGCCAAACCTCCTTGTTGTGAGCTGGTGAAGGAGTCCAAGAAGATTCTGCTGAAAGGACTAAACCCTCTGCAGGAAGATCATTGTTGGCTGGACCAGAAAGTCATAGAGAACCTTCCAGCTGGCTTAAAGAAAGGTACGGGGAGACATGTGGGTGCAGTGCTGCAACCTTAGTACGGCCTTCCTGCGTCCCAGACCTGAGGTGTGTCCCTGTCCAGATTTATTGGACTTTAAAGCAGTTTATACATGGTTCTTAAAGTGAATGAATGATAGCTTGTTCTCAGTCTTGACATTGCTGTTAAACTGCTCATCTGTGTAATACTTGCAGTTATTTTCAGTGTTCTTAAAAAAATTTATTTCAGGGTCAAAATCTTCGTCCGGTTCATGATGATGAATTTCAGAATCTCCAGTAGTGTTCAGTTCCAGCTCCAGTCCCTCAAAGTCTATTAACTTCTGTAACAAATCACTTGCTTCATTCCTGTAACAAATAACTTGCCATCATATAGGTTTTCCTCTATAATAATACTAAGGCCTAGACCAGACTTTGTAAAGTATCCTGAGACGACTTTTGTTGTGATTTGGCGCTATACAAATAAAACTGAATTGAATTGAATTTATTGGAAGCATTATGTGGAGGAAATACATTTTTAAGTAAAATGGAGACAAATTGTTTAACTGTATGATTGTCTAAGTGAAATACTGTATCTGACAGGGTTTTGCCAAGATCTGATTTACAAGATATTCCTTATGAAGATGCTGATGTTAATATATTTGTTGATGGGTTATGCAAAAGAATTGAGATAGTACTAAAGCTACGGGTTATGCTGTAGTGACAATCACAGGGAAATTAAAATCTGAATGTTCAGCACCAGCAGCGCATTATTTGTTTTAACAGAGGTGTGTAAACTGGCAAAGGGAAACCCATAAACCATAGAGATCTTATTCTTGTACTTTTAGATGCTGTGAAATTACCAAAACGTTAGCTATTTGCAAGTGCACAACACACACACACACACAACAGCAACTGATGCTGTAACACTTGGAAATAAACTAGCTTGGTTTGGCAAGATGGCACCCACCGAGGCAGACATGTTTGCGTGTTCCACTCTCAAATGCTGGCTTTTTCTTCATTTTCTTCTTTTTTGCGTGGTTTTTACTCTTGCTGCAGTGCACAAATGTCATGCACTGCTAACATACAACAGACAGGCATTGCTGGATATCGCCAACTCACACAGCCACTGGGAATTTACTGGTTTCATGTAGTGGTTAAAGCAAACTGAATATAATCAGAATAGGATGAGAATATAGTTAATAGGTAATATTAGTTGATGCACAACATGTAGTATGGTCAGGGTGAACTTTCTGCTCCTTTGTATGGGTCTCTGCAAGGACGTTGGGCGCCAAACTTCCTGTTGTTTAGCACAGTGTGCAGGGGGTTCCCAAAAATAGAGAAGTGTAACCAGGGTGGGGGCCCGGTTGGAAGTCAAGATCTGGACAATCACAGGAAGTGGGGAATGGCCATATAGTTAGCTGCAGAGTTGATCAGGCGTGTGTGTGAAGACCTGAGGGGAGACTAGAACCAGTGACTGACAGCCTGACTTTCTCTGCAGAGGCCCAGATGACAGGTGATTCTGTTTCTCGCCCTCTCAATCATAACCACAAGATATTGTTCAATAAATGATAATTGGCACTGCAGTGATTCTCCCTGTGTTTTGATATTTGCCATGACAGAATGGCGTTGTCGGCCTGGTAGGAGCCAGTCAGAGAGGCCCGACACCTGGCAGTTGGTTCCTGGGCGCAGAGCCGGGTTTTCACAAGTATCCACTGAAAAAAGATGAGTTGACTTTTTCATATAACTGATGAATTGCTCTTGCTGCAGTCAACTTGGCCTGCCGGTACCTGTCAGCTGCCTCCGCCTTTGGAGTGCTGTGTTGAGTGCCAGTAGGTTTATTTTAAACCTAAACTTATCTCCTGATTGGCTCTCCTTCAAGTATCTGTGTGCATTGAAAGAAAAGGAAAAGAGGACTGGCAATAGAATCGCCAGTACTAACTTTGACATTGTATATATGACTTATTAACACTCCCATATTCGACACAAAAGCTTTCATATGAAAAAAAGAAGCCATTTGTGTCAATAAGATGAAATACCGACCAAACGCCTTTCTCCATCCAGTCACTATTCAACAATGATTTGTTCTTGATCTTAATAAATCTATTATTCCAGACTAGGGTATTGTGGGGTGTGAAGTTATGATTTCTCCCACACACGTGATACCATTGCCCTTCTGAAAAAGAAGGGAGTGATAATTTGACCGGTAGATTCTGGATATTAAAGTCACATTTAAGCAAAAACAGTAGTACAGCTTGCAGCTCCACTCCCTAAAAAGTCACATTTAAGCAAAAACTCTATGCCTCCTATGCTTCAACACGGTCGAATGCCTTCTCTAAATCCACAAAACACATGTGGACTGGTTGGGCAAACTCCCATGAACTCTCCACCACCCTGAAGAGGGTATAGAGCTGGTCCAGTATTCTGCGGCCATCAGTGAGCTGCAATAAAGTCACCATGCAGGAAAAACCAGGTAGAAGAAGAAACTCCCTGTAAGAAACAACCGGAGCAGCAGGACAAGGTGGAGCAACACAGAGAGAGGCGAGTTTCAGTCACGTTCCTCAAACGAAAGTCTGTCAGAGCGACAGCAGAGCTGCAGTCGAGACAAGTCTCAGCGTTTTTGTCCAAAGACAAATTCTACCGGGTTCAAATCCCCCTTCCTGAAAAGAGGGACCACCACCCTGGCCTGCCAATGCAGAGGCACTGTTCCCAACTGCCACACGATGTTGCAGAGGCGTGTAACTGACTCAGACACTTGTGAGTACAGCTGATCATGTTTACTGTTCAAAGTTCAAGAATTTTATTGTCAATTCACCATATGTGCAGGACATACAGAAAATCAAAGTACTGTTTCTCTCTCACCTAGTATTGGGTGCCATAACACTTAGGAACTAAAATAGAATAAAGTAGAATAAAAATAGAATAGAATAAGAACTGGACTGACATAATTAGGATAAATCTAAACGGTACAGCCAATAAGCTGTGACTCAAAACAGAGTACAGTCAGTGACAGTAGTGCAAACAATGATAAGAGATTGTCAGGTGGTTCAGCATCACCAGGGCGTTGGTGGTGAGGTGCAAATAGCATATGAGGTATACATGGACAGTACTGCAAATGACCAACAGCAGCTGATATCCCAGCAAAGGAAAACAGTCAGCAGCAGATTTACCTGTAATATAACAAAAGGGAGAATGTATGGAGTTTGTGCAACAGCAAAGGGGTAGTCTTTTTATATCTTTTTATGTTCTGTGGTGGGTTATGGTCCAGGGGCGGGGGTAGTGAACAGTGTTCAGCATTCTCACAGCCTGATGGATGAGGCTGTTGGTGAGTCTGGTGAAGTGGGCCTGAAGACTCTGATACCTTCTCCCTGAAGGCAGGAGTCTGAAGTGGGAGTGTGTGGGGTGGGAGGTGTCATTAGCAATGCTAATGGCTCTGTGGGTGAGGCGGATTGTTATAGATGTCTATAAGGGAAGGCAGAGGGCACCAATGATCTTGCTGGCTGTTTTCACTATGCGTTGCAGGGTCCTTCTGCAGGAGGCAGTACAGCCTCCGTACCATACAGTGATGCAGCCAGTGATGACGCTCTCAATGGTGCCCTGGTAGAAGGAGCACATGATGGGGGGTGGGGAACTGGCTCTCCTCAGTTTGTGGAGGAAGTAGAGGCGTGATTGAGCCTTCTTGGCCAGTGATGTGGTGTTGTTGGTCCAGGAGAGGTCCTCAGAGATGTGCACCCCCAGAAACTTGGTACTACTCACTCTTTCAATTATAGCACCGTCGATGGTCAGTGGGGGATGCTTTAGAGGTTTTCTCCTGAAGTCCACAACAGTCCCTTTAGTCTTCCCCACACTGAGGGAGAGGGTGTTGTCCTTACACCACTGGACCAGTTGGCACACCTCACTCTTGTGACGAGCAATGGGCTGAGTACACACCCCGGTGGAGCCCCTGTGCTCAGCGTGATGGTCTTGAGATGTTGCTGCTGACCCGCACATTTTGTGGTCTCCCTGTGTTTCATCAAGCAGCGTTAAACTCACAGCTCTGACCAAACTGGAAGTTCTGCTCTTTCATTTCACACTGACACTTGTCAAAGTAACTTAAGTTAAGATGTGACGTTTAGTGACATTAGACTATAGAGAGAAACCTGATTCTGTTCTTCATAACTGCAGTAGTTAGTACAGATGAGTATGTAGCTATGTAAGATGTTTTTTATTCACACTTTCACTTCTGTTCTCAGTGTGTAGACATGTCTGGTGCCACAAGTCCACGATCTGAAGACCAGTTTCTGTGCTCCATCTGTCAGAACGAGTTCACTGATCCAGTCTCCACACCATGTGGACACAACTACTGCAAAACCTGTATCACTGACCACTGGGATGCTAGCGACAGCTGCCAGTGTCCCATGTGTAAAAAGGTTTTCAAGAAAAGACCTGAGCTGGACACCTACACCTTCATCTCTGACATGGATGCTGAGTTCAGACATGAACCTGCCAAACCAGTAGAAGTTCCCTGTGATGTCTGCACTGGAACCAAAATGAAGGCCCTGAAGTCCTGCCTGGTGTGTCTGGCCTCCTACTGTGAGACTCACCTGGAGCCTCATCTGACAGCTCCACGTCTGAAAAGACATCAGCTGGTTGAGCCTGTGGAGAACCTGGAAGGCAGGATGTGTAGACAGCACGATAAACCTCTGGAGCTGTTCTGTAAGACCGACCAGATGTATAGCTGTGTCCTCTGCTCTGTTTTAGAGCACAGGACACATGAGTTTGTTCCTCTGGAAGAAGAATATGAAGGAAAGAAGGCAGAGCTGGGGAAGACAGAGGCCGAGATTCAGCAGATGATCCAGAAGAGACGAGAGAAGATTGAGGAGCTCAAACAGTCAGTCAGGATCAGTAAAGAAGGTGCAGCCAGAGAGAAAGCAGCAGGTGTTCAGGTCTTCACTGCTCTGAAGGAGTCTGTTGAGAGAGGCCTGATCCAGCTCATCAAGGAGATCGATGAGCAACAGGAAACCACAGAGCAACAGGCTGAAGGCTTCATCACAGAGCTGGAACAGGAAATCTCTGAGCTGAGGAAGAGGAGCACTGAGGTGGAGCAGCTCTCACACTCTGAAGACCACCTCCACCTCCTCCAGAGCTTCTCCTCCCTGAAAGCTGCTGCACCCACCAAGGACTGGACAGAGGTCAGAGTCCGTCCTCCGTCATATGAGGGGACTGTGGTGAGTGCTGTGGCTCGGTTGGAGGAAGCGCTCAGTAACGAGAAGAAAAAGCTGTTTGAGGCTGAGCTGAAGAGGGTCCAGCAGTTTGCAGTGGATGTGACTCTGGACCCTGATACAGTACATCCTGATCTCATCCTGTCTGATGATGGGAAACAAGTCCATGATAGCGATGTGAAGAAGAATCTCCCAGACAAACCAGAGAGATTTTCTGATTGTGTTAGTGTCCTAGGAAAGCAGAGTTTCTCTTCAGGCAGATTTTACTTTGAGGTTCAGGTCAAAGGAAAAACTGAGTGGACTTTAGGAGTCGCCAGAGAGTCGGTCAACAGGAAGGGAAACATCACACTGAGCCCTCAGGATGGTTACTGGACTGTATGGTTGAGAAATGGAAATAAGTACAAAGCTCTCACTGGCCCTGCAGTCCGTCTCTCCCTGAAGTCTGGGCCTGAGAATGTGGGGATGTTTGTGGATTACGAGGAGGGTCTGGTCTCCTTTTATGATGTAGATGCTGCAGCTCTTATCTACTCCTTTACTGGCTGCTGCTTCACTGAGAAACTCTACCCGTACTTCAGTCCATGTTTTAATGATGGTGGTAGAAACTCTGCTCCTCTGATCATCTGTCCTGTCAATCAAACTGCCTGATCTTGTTTAGGATAAAGTTCAACAGGTCACAGTTTATACTCACTGAATGTTTCTGTATATTGTAGCTTCAGAGCGACAACATGAGCACAAAGTCTGTGTTCACTGTTATCAAGGATGGAGACGGGTTTCTTTCTGTTTAGACTTGGAGGCTCCTGAAGGGGTTAGGGTGGCCTAAAGGTCAGAGGGTCGCCGCTTATATTCAGCGTACGATGATTGTACATGTGAAATTGTTGTTTTTAAACTGTCTCTTAAGAGCTGATCACCAATAAACCACATCTCTGTAAATCGTGTCTCTCCCATTAAAACATGTAAAAACCAAGTTAAAAGTGCTGCACTGGTGTGTGTCGGCTGGTTTTGTGTCAGACGTCACAGCCCGTGTTCCAGGTTTTAATTCTGCAAGTGTGAACAGTCTGAGCTCAGAAATTAACTGTATATTCACTATACTTTCCTACACAATATAAAATTACCAACACTATCAAGAGAACAAACCAATACCTTAGATGCTCCCATCACTCTGGAAGAATTCCATAAAGCACTGAAATCCATGCCAAATAATAAATCACCCAGACCTGACGGATTCCCTGCTGAATTTTATAAACACTTCTGGCTGATATTATCACCGCTATTTCTCAGAGTTACCACAGAAATTAAATCCACCTCTACAGTACCGACACATATGAAAACGGCTGCCACGACACTCC